GGCACCCTTGCGCGGAGACGATGGGCGCGGCGAAGTCAGCGACGATGACGTTGACTTCTTCTTGTCCCGGAGCACGGTGTTGCGGAACGACGTGATGAGGCGTCGCCCGGGCGACTTGGTTGGCGTGCCAACCGGTGATGGAGGTGCCAGGTCAGGTGACACCATAGCACCGCTGGCGGCGTCGCTACACGAGTCGGAGTCGTTGAGACTCGACTGGCTGCGGCTGGCGTGTGACATGTTGAATGCCGGTGAGCTAGCCGCTATGGATCGGTCACCTGTGCCGCTGAAACCCGAGCCAATGCTGTTCAAGCTATCTCGGCTGTGCTGCGGAGAATTGAAGGTGCCTGAACAGAAGACACACAGACATACACATAAGGGAGGTCGGAGTGTATGTGAAAAAGTTAGCTTTGTCATGACTGAAGCCTGGCTGTACTTTCACACCCTATGTGCTGGTCCAGTACAGCAGCTGAAGAAGATTGAAATGGAAGTTTCCTAGACCTACGGTATCAGGATACAGGGACGCCGGAAGGTGCATTGGTGAAGCCATGAAGAGGTGTGTGAGTGTGTGGAGGGGGGGGGGGGGGTCCAAGCACTCCCCCGAAATTGTTTTGTGAAATTGGGCCCAAGAGCCCATATTTTATTGCTTCAAGAATCAAAAGATGAAATTATTCGTGCGGCTTTGGCCGCACCTGCCGCACCGGTTCCAACACCCCTAGGTTAGAGAAGAGGAAACATTGTCAATTCATGTCAAGACAGCCCCCCCCCCCCCCCCCTCCCCCTAAGCCCTGATGAGCATGCTGGGTCCAGTGGGTATCAAGCAGCACAGCGTGAGTCTCTACGTAGCTTACCGACTGTCTTGACCAGGCGCTGCGCCTCACTGCGCTGTAGGATGAACCGTGGTGCTGAGCCATTGACCAGTGTCAGCTGCAGGGGACACTCATTGCCACGCAAGTGTCGCTCCTCTCCGTCTTAACAAAGCAACGAACAAAAGAACGAAAAGGAGACGTCGTGATGTGCTCACCAACACGCACAGATACAAGGCTTTGCACTTTGCTGGATCTTGCACGTCCATAATGTAAGCGAATATAAAAGCCGTAGTTGTATATGCATATGCGCGCGCTCACACACACACACACACACACACATGCACACACGTATGCACACTATGTGCAATGTACCACCTATACGCCCGTTGCAAGAGAAGCACGCCAATCTGCAAATGTACTGGATGTGCTCCCACAGATTTTCTCTTAAATCACAACGAATCAAGACAAGATCATGCGCACACATGTACAAGTACATGTATGCACAAACACATCAGATAGGTTAGCACTGCATAAAATCAAAATGTGAGCCATATTTGGACTTACTGCCGTCGCCAATCTTCATGATGACGTTGAACAGCTCCGGATGTCGAGTATCTGCACCAATGTAGGCCGTATACTTCTCCACCAGCACCGGGACAAGCTCCGTTGTTGTGGTGTTGCTAGTGAGACGTACCACCTTAGCCACCTCCTGTCCATTGCTGCGCAGGTAGAACCTCAGGTTACCGCTGAACTCCAAACCCTGCACAAACACACATACATGTACATTCACACATAATACATACATATGTAAATACACACACAGAGTGTATAAGTCAGATAGATAGATAGATAGATAGATAGATAGATAGATAGATAGATACAAATATTACACAGCAATGAATCAAACAAGTCTCTTTCCGCTGTTACTCCGAGTTTCGTGTGAAAACACTTCATCAGACAGCACGAAACTCCGAGTAACAGCGGAATGAGACTTGTTTGATTCATTGCTGTGTAATATTTGTATTACTTGCTCTGTCCATAGGACATTGAGCACTGTAAGCAGCCTAGGGACTTTAGACAACTGTCTAGATAGATAGATAGATAGATAGAGAGAGAGAGATGAAGAAAGAGATAAAGAAAAGGATAATCTGAATGAGAGAGAATGAGGTGAGATGGACGGGATCACATAGCCAACACATTGTCGACGGTACGACCTGTGGCAGGAAAGAGACAGTCTTAGCACGTACATCATGAAACACGTCACATCAAGTGCACTCCTATACTTCTGCTTGTACCGGCCTTGTTTGGTGCTTGTACCCGGCCTTGTTTGGATGCACACCCAGGCTGTAAGTCTACACATTTTCGGCCCATTCAAATTTCGGCCTCCCAGGGCTAAAACACATTTCGGCCGCATCACATTTTCGGCCTGTACTGCTGCTGCCGGTATACACTGTCACACTGACCTTGCAAAACAAATTTCGGCCCCAACACATTTTCAGCCAAATATGCTTAGGCTGAAAATAGCCGAAAATAGTTATTCGCCGAATATTTGTAGACTTAGAGTACATAAATTGTTACGAGCCTCCATTACGATAAATTAATAATAAATTACGGCCAAAATAAACACAAGGACATTTACCCAAGTGTTCGACCAATTTTCAACTCAAAGTTCTAAAAAAGTCAAAACCACAAAAGTAGAATACGGACAAACCTACTTTGGTAGGCAGCAAGTAACCCCAGTCACATGTACACACACACTCACGTCAACTACATCACTGCGCAGCAAGTAACCCCAGTCACATGTACACACGCACTCACGTCAACTACATCACTGCGCAGCACATAGTACCCCGTGGAAGTTTTCTTTACAGCAGGACATCGTTTCTGCTGCTGCTGCTGCTGCTGCTGGTACTGGTGGTAGTGGTCGCTTGTGTGGTGAAGTGGCCTGTCCTCGTGCTCCGGAGTGAGTTCGGCCTCCGGTTCTGGCGTACACGGTGCTTTGTAGCCACATCTGCTGCTTGGTCGCGAGCCCGCATGGTCGCCGCCTTCCATTATCGGCACCGTTACGATTCCGGTCTTGCGCACTAACAGTGCTGGCGAGGACTTGGAAGGAGAAGGGCCAGGCGGGTGATGTTGCAGCTGTTGCAGCTGTTGCTGCTGCTGCAGCTGTTGTTGGGCAAGGCGCAACCGCCATCCCGACCAGCTGCGCCGTCTCCCTCGACTGTTGGATCGCTTCAGCATGCAGCGCACTTCCTTACCGTTGAATCGTTTCCGGCATTGAACGCTAGGGTTGGAAGCAGCGATAGTCTCGTACGTGTTTAGCGCGCAGGAAGCTTCTTCCATATCGTTTTCCTCGAAGCGTCGCTCTGCGTGGTCCCCAGCATCTTCAATTATTATTTCCTCATCCTCCTCTAGCTCTATGTCTCGCGCTGACGAGCGGATGGGTCGTCGTGATTTCCGCTCAGCCTGTTCGCTGTCGTCAGGCGGATTAGCGAGCGGTGATTTGCTTGGCATCGACGCTGATGATGAGGGCGGAGGTCTTGAAGTTGATGTAGCGCTTGCTGCGACACCGCTGGACTGTACGTTCAACATGGACCCAGTGGAACGACGGAAGGCCTGACGGCCAGGTAGTTGTCGTTTCACGTTCCTCTGCAGTACTTTCAACGAGTAGTTGCGTGCCTTCTCCATCCCGAGGCCGGGTAACATCACCCAGCTCCCGCTACCGTGACGATGGCGCCCGAGATTACACCCTTCTTCGGTACAAGTACTGAGTGATTAGGCTCAGCGAGCGAAAGACATGTCCGGATCCGAGATGTCCGCACTTCAAAAAGCAGAGGTCGCTAGTAGATCTACATAGGTCTAAATTATTTCACTCACAGGAAAATACTGCAGACTACCGCTGGACCGATGCTAGATAGAACTCAACTGGGGGATTTCCAGAGGGTAAAAAAAGGCAGACGCTCTGCTGGGTTGAAGGAAAAAGATCTGTTCAATACTAGTAGTAGACAACAGACCCGAGTGCTCGGAGGAACGACAATACCACATCATGCAAGCCTCAAGAGTGAGCGATTGTGGGAAACGATTCCATGCACTTTCAGAGTCCTGGCGGCGATGTCTGGAATCCACGACGTCGCGGGGACCTTTTCTAACAAGTCGCATTTAGCGGGAAAGGTGTTTTCTCTGCCCTCCTAGGGCACTTTGCAGTAACACCTCAACTGCGAGGTGCTTGAATTCTGTGCTATCCCTTCGCTTTTGGTCTTTTACTACACGCAAGACCAACTATTTCTAGCGCAATGCGCTGGCCAGTATTATATTCAGCTCCACTGTATGAGTGATGCACTGAGATTGGAACGTAGAGAGTCTACGTAGCGCTTTCTGCGTTCTTCTGGAGAAAGGACCGTTCTCGCTTCAAGTACAGTCGACACGATTGTGGTTACAGCGCAAGTGATGTTTTAATACGCTCGTGACTTACAACAAGAGCACAGCAGACAAGCAAGTTAGTCGCGAGCCAACTCGAGTTGTGCCCGGGTCGGTAAAGCGGCGCACATCATCCACATGCCGTGGCTGGCTCAACGCCCTTGTCTCAGGGGATTCTGTCCCTGCATTAGCTATGCTTGTCACATGCTATGAGATTGTGTCTAATAATAATAATGCTGTACAGTGTACTCCAACAAAGTCCAAAGTCTTGGGTTCGTCTGTTGCCAGGGCGCCTAGGGCTGGGGTTGCGGGTGCATGACCTCTTGCACCCTAGCCAGTTACACAACACGAGAAGAAGACAGGGTTCGCGAAGTACATGTACAGGGTCATGTACATGTACATGGATGTGGTTAGCGCGCATGCAGGAGCTTTTTTTGCAGATCTACTCTGTTCCGAGCGCTGCTACTGTAGTTGACTCTAGTCTAGTCTCACAATCTGTAGAGCAGTAGTAGGTCCTTTTTTCTACCAGAGACGAGGAGACCACCGGACGCTTGCAAACACCAGCATGAACAGTTCACCCCCAGCAACAGCCAATAGCCCACAACACTCAGTCAACAGCAAGGAGTTACTCCTGACAGGCTTGTACAGGATCACCCTACAACTATTTACTACTAACTCAGTTAGAACCTGTAGATCTACATGCGCACGTAAATCTACATGATTTATGTAGACTCTACTCATATAAATCACCTGTTCAGTAACACATTCGTGTGACTCGGTATGCGTGACAAGGTGATAGGAATGCATGTACTGCTCCACAGACGAACATCATTGAGCCTGATGCCCGCTGATGACCAGAATTTCTGTGTCTGGGACTTCCCACCACTGCATACACCAGCTTCACATCATGTGATTATCATGTGCAACAACATAATAAAATCATACGTCAAAGCCACCACCCAACGCTCGCTCTAGCCCTCCATGCCCAATATTATTATGACTCGAGTATGAATCACTTCAGAAGTTCAGTGTTTTGACTGGTTTACCATGATACGAACTATTAGTATTACACAAGGCAGAACAACAGAGATCGAAAGTTTTCTCGTTACTATGACTATAGTATGAGTTTTGGTCTCTGTAGTTCTTCTGCCTTGTGTAGTACGCTCTGCCCTTGTTTGGGTATTGACTCGAGCACTAAGTATTTGCAGCAAGGACTTCAGACACTTTGTCTGTAAAATTTATAAGTGTTCAGTATACCGGTAGCACTAGTAGTACAAGTCATGTAGATCTGGTACATGTACACGTTTAGCTGGACTTCTGAAGCTGGTTCCGCCACATCACTCATCAGACTGACCCACAACGGCCCTACTGTAGATTCCTGGACTCCAGCAACGTTTCCAAGTGTGTACACAGTCATGACCATGACCATGACCATGTAGATCTACAGTCAGTACAGAAATAGAGTTGTACTGTGCCAGACCCACCAGTTGTCCGTACTGTCGGTACAGTGGAACTATCATTGTATTTGCCTTGGTTGGCGATCACCCTTCATTTCACATTCATTTCACATTCATTTGTCATTGGCAGTCGTTTGACGAGCCAGGACATGTTGAATAAATACACATACGAATACAAATTTATCTAGCACGAAGGTCCTAGAACCAGTCCTCTTTGTCACTGTAGTTTCATTAGTGTTCGCGGAGAATGTGTTCAGTACATGTCTAAGACAATGTCACGTGTGATTAGTGATTACGACCTCAACTTTCTTTTACTAGTAGTTGGTAGTCCAAATTAACACTGGTGAATACTGAATAGTGCTCGAAAAATCAAGATTCTGCTCGAAAAGCATTGAAATTGGCATAACCACGATACAAAGCTTATGTGGGGCATGTCCTCAATTTCCGCTCCTATTCTTTATCTATACTTCGATGTGTAACGAACATGCATGAGACATACCAGAAAAGGCCCAACATTATGTATACATTCTGCCGATCTTCTGCCAGCATCATTTCCCAAGGGTTATAACTTAGAAGGGCGTTCCATACCACTTCCTCTCATTTTGGTAGAAAACTCAGCACAGGTAGACTAAGGAAAAATTGGAAAATATTACAGCATAACTTGTGCCCCACAGATAGAATGCACTGGCGTTTACACAGTATGGAATCTTGATAACATTGTCTGGGGGCTCCAATGTATGGTACATGTACAGAGCTCAGTAGGAATAACAGTACACACTACATGGTCACATGGGCTGTATAGTGAGAGAAAGACTACAGTCAACTTCGCTTATAACGACACTCGGCAGGGCATGAGAACAGTGTCCTTATTCGCGACGTGTCCGTATACCCGAAGTCTCATTATATGTATTACAGTTAGATGGGACTTTTCTCCGGGAATGGGCATTCTGTCGTTATTCGCCGCGAATTGCCATTATATCCGCAGTCGTTATTAGCAAACTTGACTGAATGTTACATGGGTAGTAGGGAGACATGGCCATACGGGCCGTAGAGAGACAAAGTAACACGGGTAGTAGGGAGACATGGCCATATGGGCGGTGGAGAGACGAAGTAACAAGGGCGGTAGGGATACAAAGTCGCATGGCAGTAGAGCCACAGTATTTTCTGGTTGTTGGGGGCCATTGTGAGTTCCCTCGGGAATGGATAAGATAACTAAATTATCATTTTTTTTAAATGCAGAGATTCAACAACACTTTGGTCTATGAAGCAGTCAGGGTCGGTATGCACATAGCAAGCACGCCCCTAAAACGTTTAGCAAACAAACGCACAGTGGTATCGGAGATGTAAGGGGTCATGTGACTGATCACAGCTAATTAGTGTGTATGTGTCTGTGCAGATATACATGTATCACAAACTGTCCAGTGTAGCCCTTTTCCAAAGGTGCTCTTTTAATTCGCACTTAGTGCTTTTCGCGTCCCTCAAAATATGCTGAAAAAGTGCTCTTTTTCAGTAAAAACAGGCAAAACGTGCTCTTTTTTCAGTGAAGCATAGCCATGAAACATGTTCAGATATGAACCCAAGCTGAGAAATGAATACGCACTCTTCCATTTATGAGTCCATGAAAGGCAAAACAGAAAGTAAAGTTCAAAATACCCACTTTTTACAGCATTGTGTACACCAGGTACAAGCTTCACCAACTTGTTGCCCCCCCCCCCCCCCAAAAGAAAGCGGCGTGCCAACTTCCAAGGCCCATCGAGCACTCGGAAACTGTGATCGCATGCTTGAGCAAACAGATTTTAGCACTTTTTCACCTAAAAAAGCTCAAAAAAGGCGATATTCACCAAAAAACGTAATAAAGGGCGAAAGAAACGGGCTTTTCCAAAAAGGGCCAAAAAGGGCCAAAAAGGGGCGAGCACCTTTGGGAAAGGGCTAGTCCAGTGTGACGATTGTTGAACCCCCCCCCCCCCCCGATATCCACATTCCAGAAAAGAAAACTTTCATTTGATCCACTGTCCAGTGTTCACTGCAGCGCACAAACACCCAGATCTTGACCTTAACCGATGGGAAAGGTCAAGGTGTGTGTGTGTGTGTGTGTGTGTGTGTGTGTGTTGTTGTTCGGTCTGCTCCCATCCCGTCGTCCACCTGGTGGTCCACGCAAACGCTGGAAAGACTGCATTAGTGCAGACCTGAAGGCCCTGAATGCTGTGGAGGGATGGTACGATCTGGCAGATTCTCGCCCCGACTGGTGCCGCATGTATTGCTGTTTCGAGCCCGAGCCGTCCACACTCAATGTCCATTGCCAAGTATGTGATCAGTACTTCTCTCGCCCATCAGATGAGAAGCGTCACAAATGCTTGGCAGAACGGCGGAAACCGGGGTGTAATCAGGCTGGCGCTTGCCAGTGTCGTCTCTGCCAACGTTGGTTCCGCAGCCCCGGTGGATTGGCTACCCATCGGTGCGATCACGGACCTGCTCCCGACATCGAGCACCCCGGCAACCCGGTCACTCCGCAGTGCAGCACCTGTCACCGGAGTTTCAAGTCCAGCAGCGGCTTGGCCAGACACAAGTGCGTCCGCACGAAACGAAGGACAGTGTCGGAAAGGGCCGATTTCCCGTTTGAGTGCCCTTGCCAAAGGAAGTTCTGACTACGTCACCATTTAGTACGCCATCAGGATTGCTGCTCCCCAGCCTATTCCACCCCTCTCCCCTGATGGGCACCGTGTAACCTATCAAGGCAACGTGTATCAAGGTCAATGTGTGTGTGTGTGTGTGTGTGTGTGTGTGTGTGTGTGTGTGTGTGTGTGTGTGTGTGTGTGTGTGTGTGTGCGTTTGTGCAGTGCAGTGGACAGTGGAACAAATCAAAGGTTTCTGGCTGCACAAACACACACACACTGTGTGTGGGCCCTTAGTTAGGTATTAGGCCCTGTGTGTGTACTTACAAGTATATGTGTGTGTGTGTGCGCGCGCACGCGCACGCGTGAGTGCACACACTGTGTGCGTGCGCGAGTGTCCACACAATGTGCGTGTTTGAGCACATGCGTGCATGCATGTGTGTACGGTCGACAACACAGCAGCCACAAGATAACCACTGACCTTTGTGAGCTCCAGTCGGAATAGCTGCAGCTGGTTGCGCACATTGAAGTCCTCAATCTCCTGCCTCAGCCGCTCTCTATCCACACGCGTTTCGGCCATGACTGCTACTCAGTACTGCTGTCTGGTACAGCTGCTAGTGATGCCTATCGCTATCCCGTGCGGCAACGTTGTTGGGTTAGTTGGCAGTGGCAGTATAGCAGGTATGTATGCGTTGGGTGATGTTTGGACATGTGAAGGTTAGGAGAAGAGGTCTTCAACTTGCTCTGTGGCTAGCACTAGTGCACTGTTGGTATGTACGTAACAGTGGTGTGTGTGGCACAGGTGGATAGCAGGAAGTGTGTGGGACCGAGATTGATGATCAATGTGTGTATGCGAATGGGAAATGGCCAAGCAGATCATACACTGGCTATTGGCTGTTGTTGTGGGCAAGGTCATGCAGGATGTTGCTCAGTACACGATGACACACTGCACTGACGGACTCTGCTGAGCTCACAGTAGACCATCCCACACCGCCTGAGCGGCTAGCACTGACTGCACGCGCCCAAACACTTTTCAATGAAGTCGTCCAGCAATGCGTCGCTGCCTCGCTGCCCTGGCACTGACTGACTGGATCAAGGCTGCTCAAGTCAAAGCAGCTCTAGTGCAGTACTAGTAGTAGTGATACATGTACACCTAGTGCGCGGGTGGGGCAACAGATGTGATAATTATCGTGCCGTAAAGTGGAATATCCACCGCGTAGCTTTACACTCACACCTCCAGGCTCCACTTTCGGGGACACCGCATACAGTTTGTAGGCGTTGTGGTGGCCGCCAGCTTCCGTTCCGGATGGGGCGGTAGCCAGCGTCACCTCGGGTCGCGAGAGGAGGCTTGACTCTGTGCAAGAATCAGCACCGAGGTCCCGCGCGCAGTGCAGCCAGGCAATGGCTTCCAACAGCTCGCGCTCCGAACAGCCACACGAAGAGCTCGTACATGCGAGAGCTTACACTATCTTCGCTGTGGTCGCATGCATTGGAGACTTCAGACGGATGACGATCGAATGAACCATCAGGCCGCAGTTATACATGTATTGCACATTTCCACTGCTCCACGCACCCACTTGAACTCCCAGCAAGCGTATAGCGATGGACTCCCCACCTTTCCAGATAATTTAGTGGATCTATCTACGCTACAACAGAACGTTTGTGATCTGGAAGAGGGGGTGGAGATCTCTATCCGCTTATGCCTTGGCTATGGACTGTATGGTTCTTCGAATTTCTTTCTCACACTCATCGCTGCCGACGAATGCAGCATTAGTTAGTTGACTCGGCCCTGGGCTAGGACTGTGTAGGCTGTTGCTTGAGTACGATACGACTCCGAGGGGTGGACTGGAAATCTGCTTGAATCCGAGCCGCGACGCGAGCCCGTCACTGCAGCCGTCAGCCAGTCGACGCGCTAGTCGTCAACTGTAGTGAAGTGTAGTGTATGTCACTACATGTATGTGTGCAGTATGTCAATGTATTAGTATCTAGGACTAGTCTACCGTTCGTAGATCTACTCCACGGTCCGACTACGGTGACTAAGGCGTATGACCATGATGACGGTATGTGCATTCAGGAATCAGGGTCATGTTGTTGGATACATGCACGTAGATCTACGTCGTAACCGTCGTTAGTACCATGATTGTACCTGAAAACGGGCTTGTCTTCCCTTCTTGGGAAGAAAAATGATTGCATTTACGTATATACACACGCACAGTCACGCACACGCACACGCACATGAATCATGATACTGACTGTACTATGTCTGTAGATCTACATGACTGTACATGTAGATTGTACAATACATCTGAACTACTTCGTAGTCGATGGCAGGCACTCGACTCGACTGTCATGTCGGTTGATCTACACAGCTTGTCAGTCGTGCACATTATGTACCCGCATTGCATTACCAACAAATAAAACATGACCATCACAATCATTATGATCAACTGTTGCATGTGTAGGCTGTACCACATTGTACAATGTACATACATACATGTATGTACATGATTGTGTATAATTATGTCACTGTACAATCTACATTGACATTGTACTTGGCTGCAGTGTAAAATCACGTGCCATGCCCCAGGAGTCAGGACTGGACAGGACTGGACAGGAGGTATTACATATTGTACACGACTGTACGTCTTCCATTATTTTTATGGTTCGGGTGCTTTGAGTTATTGACAACCACAGCTACAGGCTAGTACAGGCTAGCATCTTTGTTTTGATACCCGAAGAAGAAGAGCCACAGTACAGAGCCTTTCTGTCCCGTGACTGCTTGACTGTGTGGCTGTGTGGCTCAGTTGTACATTGTACACGAACATGTAAGCGCTTAGCTAACACTAACAGCCTCACTCCATTCTCATGGTCCTTGCCCTTCGTTCCACAACTGGCACAAGAGATTCTTCGCCATGCCAGGAGCATAGCTAGCATTGCATCGTCATGGACTTCGGTGACTCAACACACAAAGCTAGTTACATGTAGTCCTGCATTAGAACTTCAAAGCTTGGCAAGTGTAACAGGTACAGTAGAGAACAGAACAACAAGGACAATCAAGCCTTTCAAGGCTTGTTTGCTGCGACTTGAAGTTTCATGCTATCGCAATCATCAGGCAACAATACTAGTACCGGACCTACTACCGGTACTTGCACATGACGTGTTCAATTTTCGTCTGATGATCGATTCGTGAAACGCAGAGTTGCGAAACCGCAACGTATAATATTATTACGTCCGCAGATTGAGTGACGTCATGTACAATGTAGAATTATGTACATACGCTACAACCCATGACTACATGTACAGGTATGGTGGCGGAAGGCTATGTGTGTGGTCGGTGAAGTCATGCGACTCATGACGGTGTCTGTGCGGGAACATCATGAACAGGCCATTGTCCGCAGTGGTGCACTCGGCACACTGAGCCTCTGAGGACAGCATAGTATCGATGTCACATCTCCCGAAACAAATCATTAATAATTTCCATGGCAGACGGTCTAGCAACAGGCTGAAATAATTGCCTGGAAGACCGTGGGTTTTCGCTTTTTGGAGATGACTACTCACTCATGTCTGCTCGACGCTGTAGGCTAGTGTAGCTCTGTCAGTGGCCAACACCTGTCGTTCTTGATCAGAAATACAGTCAAGCAGATGTGTACATGTAGGTCCGGAATGACACCTCCTTGACATCTAGCGTCTGACGGTTAACTTAAAATCTACACCACTGCGCGGGTCGTTGTCTTGTCAACAGGACAGGCACATATTGTAGGCTTTGCTGGATAGTTTAAAAACATGTTAGAGGTTACAGTTGCGGTTATCCTCAAACAAGTGCAATAACCGACGCAGTGGATATGGCTCATATGAGAATGACAGGTGCTATTGCTGTCATTATTCGCACGCACATCATGAATCAATTACATGTATGACTTTGCTGACCAAATACAGGTAGCTGAGGCTGCAGTCAATCATCTCATGTTTATAATGCTCTTCTATTTTATTTTTACAATTTTGCAACTCCCTCTTTCTATATCTATCTCGCTCCTCCCCCCCCCCCCCCTCTCTCTCTCTCTCCCCCTCTCCCACACCCACTCATGGTGCGTCTAGTTGCCATGAAGTCGAGACCACAGGTCGGCGGAGCTCCCTAAACCTCACCACCACTGCCACTATACATGTACATGTACATGTACATGTATATCCGAGGTACTGTATTTACTATTGTACAATATGTACATGTACATGTACATGTAGAGTGGGCAATCTTCACACTCTTCAAACTTGACAATTTGTCTTCTCACCACTCTGTTATTTCACTCCGTCAGCTTTCTTTGCTTTTTAATATCTTCTGTTGATTTCATCCATCACTTTCATTTCACGAAATAGTGGTAGCGACTTCGGCGATGATTGGATAGGAATGGGTTTGCTCCCCACGTTGGAGCTCGCGCTATTCCGCCGACTTGACTTGACACTTGACTGACTCACGAGTCACGACTGCCATCCAGAGCACAGGGGAAGTCCATCGAACCTTCTTCCAGGAGCGACACTGACTCACGCTGCTATCTGGTGTTCACGAGGTGTTTGTGGCGCTGGAAACGGAGCGTCTCTGTAAGTTTGTATCCCTGGTGATGTTTGTGCCTGGAGAGCACTACATGTATATAAGTGGTGCTCTTCGGGTACAATCTTCCTCAGCCTACTCAAGCTCAACTGATGAGGGGTGAATTCCCCGAAAACGGTGTATTGAGCAAGGAGTGGTGCTTTCTTGCAGGTTTGCCGAGTCGAAGGTTCGATGGACTTCTTGTGTGCATGCTCTGGATGGCAGTCACGTGAGTCAGTCAAGTGTCAGGTCTAGTCAGCGGAATAGTGTGAGCTCCAGTGTGCATGGGGAGCAAACCCATTCCTATCATTTTCATTTTGATGACTGAATCGAGTCAAGAAGGATTGACTTCAGAACTTTGCCAGTGTCTACCGTGTGTGCTTCATTGGTGACCCTGGCTAGGGTCCAGCGGATAATGCTCCAAACATGTTCATATAATGCCAATCATAATGTTCCCAAATTACCTCATAATGCTGATTATAATGCTTCAACAAGGGCTATAATGCTCTTGGTTTGGAACAAAAATGGAAGAAAGGCTGCACATTGTCAAACTTCCAGGAAAGGATACATCTACTTGTAGTCGATCTACCTCTGAAGCTGCTACAGTATCTCTCACGAGCTCCACCACTTCTTAGCACTATAAGACATGATCGCGTCTACAGTGGCTGCTCTTCATTGCAACTTTGGTGCACGGCTGTGGCTGAATAATGGGTGTATCAAATCCTTTCCCTTGCTTATCCATGTAGTGAGAGGTGAAACCATTATTGCTGGTGATCATTTGGGTGCTGGAAGCTTATCATGGGAAGTTATATTCCTGCCTGCAGACAAGCTGTCACTGCTTCCACTCTGTGAAAAATGTCTTCATCTGAAACAGCTCATGTGAGGCCAGCTCCACCACTTCTTAGCACTATAAGACATGATCACGTCTACATTGGCTGCTCTCCATTGCAACTTTGGTGCAGGGCTGTGGCTGAATAATGGGTGTATCAGCCTCAGTTGCAACGTTGGGCATGCTACATCACCTGTACATTTACCTGACTACATTGCTACATAAATACTTTATGTAGCAATGGCATTATGTGGTCAGGTAAATGTAGCAGTATAGTGCTACGCAAGAGGTACACTGCCTCTGTGCGTTGTAGTGCTAATAATTATAAAGGTTAGGTGTTACGTGTCGACACAATCACAAAGTCATTTGCCGGTACAATACATGGCGTTGCACCTCATGGCTTCAGCTGATTGTTGCCAAAAACCTGACATTTCCCGACATTATCCACTATGAAACTCGTTATGCCGCTCAAACCTCACCTGTGTCTCGTTTTGTGTTTGTCTCCACATGTCTCTTTCTAGGGCTGTGTTCCCAATAAAAAAAAAAAATTATTACAGGGTGCGACAGAGCTCTCGGCCATTATAGAAAATGTTGAGTCACCTCCACCATTACACTGCGCTCTTTAGCCGACTAGACCCTCCTGCACACAACCATCACCATTGCGAGGACACTTCCGTAGACGATATTGATAAACTCCTTCAGACAGCTGTTTCGTTAAAGGGGAAGTTAAGGCAAAAATTAAAATTTCACCAGTTGTAGTCTTCGGGGTGCTGAGTCGAATGGTCGTTGTCCGAGGAAGCTGAGACGCTCCCTTCCTACTTGAATCCCAATCGAACTCGCGCACTTCCACTGAAACTGGGTGACTGCGCCCTACTAGATGGGGATTTGTATGCAAAATCTCACTAAAAGCGCCATTTCGTTCTTATAAAAGCACGGATGACCGCGATTGGCCCATATGTTGTAGTCTTTTGGACGCTGAGTCGACTGGTTTTGGTCCGAAAAGGCTGCGATGCAGCGTTCCTCCTTTATTCCCAATCGAACATGGTTGAACAAGCGGTCACGTGCTCCTGCGTACGCCAGTCACCTGGTCACCGTGCCTGCATGGTACAACTTAATACTAGCCTGTTTGACCTTTTTTGGGTGCAGTCCTGTCACTCGAGTTGAACCTTGGTGTGAAAGTTGTCGCCTGCTGGCGTGGTGACCAGGTGATTTGGGCACCCAGGAGCACGTGACCGCTTGTTCAACCATGTTCGATTGGGAATAAAGGAGGAACGCTGCATCGCAGCCTTTTCGGACC